TCTAGGAAGAGGTAATGAAGAATAATACAACTCCAAGAACCCCAACAGAATGAATCCACCAAGAGAGACAAGGAGTTAAAAAGAGGAAGAGGGAAACCAACAACATAAAAATAAAATGACAAGGATAAGTTAATACTTAAGTCAATAATTATCCATTTTAATCATTAATATAACCATCAGATATAATCATATAAATGGTCTCAATTCAACAATCAACAGGGGCTGGGGAGATGGCTCAGTGGAATAAATGCTTCCCTGGCAAGCACAAGGGCCTGAGTTCAATCCCCAGTTCCGAAACAAAAAAAAAAATCAACAGAAATAAACTGGCAAAATTGATCAAGAAAAATATTCACCAACATTCTACATTAAAGACATATTTATCTGAAAAAGAAATTCATAGATTGAAAGTAAAATAACTGACAAACAATACTCTATGTGACAGAAACACACAAAAAAATGAAGGGCTATCTATTCTTTTGGCAATCAAAGTGGGTTTAAAGACAAGACTGAATGAGATATGAATAAGGTCACTATATCTTCATTAAAGGAACAATCCAAGAGGAACAAATAATAATATATATGTATATGTATATATATACATATATATACATATATGCCTCAAATATCAGTGCATCTGATTATACAAACAAATGCTAACATATAAAAATAAAACAAGCACAAATACAATAGTAATAGGATAACTCAATACCTCTCTGTAACAAAGATGGATCAACTACACAAAAAAAGAGAAATGCCAGAACAGAACCAAACTTTTGATAAAAATTTTGAATAAAAGTTTAGATTCAGTAGAAATATAGAGTATTCAACCCCATAGAATCAAAATACACATTCTTCTCAGCTGTACATGAGACATTCTCCAACACAGATCATGTACTACCTCGTAGAACATGGTAGAGTAAATGCAGAGGAACTGAAACTGCCCCATGCATATTAACAGATTATAGTGCAGTGAAATGGGAAATCAATGACCAAAGAAACCACAAAAACTTCATAAACGCATGGAAGTTAAATAACATATTCCTGAGCAACCAGTAGGTAACAGAATAAATTAAAAAAGAAATTAGACAGTCTACAATTAACCTATAATGCCAATACTGGGCAGCAAAATGCATAGGGCACAAATAAGCCACTCCTACAAGGAAAATACATAAGTAGTGCTTTCCCATATCAGAAAAGCAAAGTGAGCCAAGGCTCAAAGAAATGAGCCAAGGTTCAATCTAAAGCTTTCAGAAAAGGAAGAGCAATTCTACCCCAAGGATCATATGATGAAAGAAATAATAAAGAACAGAGAAAAATTAATTCAACTAAAACTAGGAAAACAATACAAAAAATCAATAGTTCAGAGAGTTGTTTCCTTCAAAGATTAGCCAAAATTGACAACTCTTAGCCACCCTAACAAAAATGTGAAGACTCAAATTCATGCAATTAGGGTAAAAAAGGTAAAAAAGCAATAGATCCTGCAGAAATCCTGATCACTGATACTTTGAGAACTTATATTCTAATAAGACAGAAAATGAACAGAAGAAATGGATAAAGTCCTATATATATATGAATTACCAAAACTGAATCAAGAAGATATAATAATTATAAATAACCCAATATTAGCAAATGAAAATGAAGGTATACTTAAAGTCCTACTGACAAGGAGAGGCCCAAGTCCTGATAGATTTATTGCTGTATTCTACTAGAAATTCAGAGAACATCTAATGCCACTACTTGTCGAACTCTTTAATGAAATTAAAAGTGAAAAACTTTCCCAAAGACATTTTTGGAAGCAAGAATTGTCTTGACGCCAAAACCCAAAGAAGGATCCAACTATAAAAGTAAAGATTAATCTCCCTAAGAAACATAGTGAAAAAAACCTCAAGAAGTTACTGCAAAACAGAATGCAGCCAAACATCAAGAATAGTACATACCATGACAAAGGAGGATTCATCTCAGGGATGCAGGGATGGTTCAACATTGACATACCAAAAAAAATAATACACCATATTAACAGAGCCAAGGACAAAAAATGACATGGTCATCTCCACAGATACAGAAGAAAACATTTTCCAAAGTCTAACATCCATTCATGATAAAAACTCTCAAATTGGAAAACTGGAATAGATGTGCTTTATCTCCATATGATAATTACCACCTGGAACAAACTAATAGACAATGTCATACTAAATAGTCAAAAAATTAGGACTTTTATTCTAAATTCAAGAGCAAGACAAGGATTCTGTTATCACTACTCTTATTCAATATAGTTCTGGAAACATTATCAAGAGCAGTTAGAAAAGAGAAATAAACAAAAGGTATAAAGATAGAAAAAGAAGAAATTAAATTATCATTATTCATAGACAACATGATACTCTACATAGAAGACCCCCAAAACTATACCAAAAGACTTATCAATTTAATAACCAAATTTGGTGGTGTAGCTGGATACAAATTCAACAGTCACAAATCAATAGCATCTCTGTACACAAATAACAAACTCATTAAGAGAGAAAAAGAGACACAACACCTTTCACATTAATTTTTTTTTTTTTTGCGGAACTGGGGATTGAACTCAGGCCCTTGCACTTGCCAGGCAAGCATTTATTGTACTGAGCTATCTCCCCGGCTCCTACATTAAATTTTTAAATTATGTACTTAGTAATCAATGTAACAAAGAAAGTAAAAGATGTTTAAATTGAAAATTAGAGTCCTCTAAAAAATGGAACCAGAAAATGGAAAAACAGCATTTGTCCTTGGGTACGAGGAAATTGACCAATAACAAATGCTGTTAGGATTATTGGGGAAAATCAATCCTTACCCACTGTTGGTGAAAGTGTAGACTGGTGCAACAGCCAGGGATATCAGTGTGGAGATTCCTCAATAAACTAAAACTAGAGGTTCCACTTGACCGAGCTATTTCTCTTAGGGTGCACCTACTTACCTAAAAATGTCTCAAGTTTGTCCTTCTTTGTAGTAGAGTATTATGCAATTGTATATATAAAATCCTCCTCATGCACTTTTCTACTGATGGGAATTTTGGTTATTTCAAAGATTTTGCTATCACAACTTGTTCCACTATAAACTCGCATGCACATATATTGCTGTGGTATGACAATTTAAATTGTTTTGGGACAAATGTGGTTTCATGTTTTAAAAGCCCCCTGCTTCCTGGGCTAGCTGCCTTTCGGTCCTCTCCTGCGTGAGAGCAGACTGGGGGCCCTGAGCTCAGTAATAAATGGCTTTCCAAATTCAAATAAAATTGTTTTGGGAAATATAAAATACATTATCTGCTAGCCTTTATAAACCTATTATTTTGTTTAGTGAAATTCTGTATCATTTCTAATGCTTTTTACTATTTTTTATTTCTCCTTAAAGCTTTAAAAAATATATAAAATTTATTTTATATACATCATAAGATACTTTTTAGGAAAATAACATCAATCTGTTTTTATAAGTGGAAAAATATATCATGTACAAGCACAAATTCCTGAGGACAGTTAACAATATGTATGTAAAATACACCTATAAAACTATTTTTAAAAAATGATAAATTGTCATTAGTACCACTTAAAAGACTTCCTTTTGGGCCAGCCAGATAGCTCAGGGGACTAAAGCGCATGCTTATGCAGGTACAGAGACTGGAGTTCAATCCCTGGCATGCTATGCTGACACCACCCCCAGAGTACACTGAGAGGTTGATTGAAACAGGGGGTGGTGGCATATGCCTATAATCTCAGTGCTTGGGAGGCTGAAAACAGGAGGATCATTACCAGTCCGATCTGTATAGTGAGACCCTATAGACTCTGTCATAAATACAAAAAAAAATACTTCCTTTTATTTCAAGGTGTGATCAAAAAAGTGCAGTGAATGTCATTGCAGAGGATTATCCAATGGAAAGGTAGGGTCTTAATAATATTATGCTAGGCCCCCTTCCGCAGTATTTGTTGGATCAAGTATATGACTTTCTGGCTGTTCCTCAGCATAAAATGGGCTATGAATGATAAATGTTTTGAATTTTTTATGGAAAAGGACTTCCCGAACTGCTTCAGAAAGTGACAAGACAGTGGCACAGTGCCTGCCTGGCAAGTGTGAGATACTGAGTTTGATTTCTGGTACAGAAAAATAAAAGCAAAAAGTGGCAAGAATCATGGGATATTAGTGCTTTCAAGATTTCAAGACAATAGGGAATATTTTAGGGGGGTTAAAATTACAATGTGTTCTTTAGTGTAATAAACTTTAATTAAATAATCACCATATTTTTCATTAAAAAACTTCATAATTATACATATATATGGGATGTCGACAATTCAGTAAATGTATATACAATGTATAATGATCAAATCAGCATAATTACCATATCATCAACTTGAACATTTATATTTCTTTATATTGAGGTCTTCAAACTCCTCTCTCTTAGGTTATATATATATATATATATATATATATAAATTGTTGTTGACTATAGTCACTTACTCTGCTGTGGAATAGAATTTATTCTTCCAACCTAACTGTATTTTGTTACTTACTATCCAACCTCCCTCTACCTCACTAGCCTCTAGTGACCACTGTTCTATTCTCTTCTGCTTTGACATATATTTCTGCATTATGCTTAAATTAGTACCCTGTAGGCAATCAAAACAGAAGCAAAACAATAGATATCAACTCTGCTTGTTAGCCAATTTTTCTATAAATAAACCTTGACATAGGTTTCACTTTGGAAAGTGCTTGGCTAGCCTTAGAATTGGGCAAAATACTGGGTGTGGTGGCACGTGTCTGTAATCCCAGCTCTTGGGGGGCTGTAAACAGGTGGATCACTATGAGTCCAATCTAGTAGTGAGACACTGAATACCCTGTAGACCCTTCCCTAAAATAAAAAAAAAAAAAAAAAATTAGGCAAAATAGAGAGTGAGAGTGGACATCTGCCTAAGGCCACATTTGCCATCTTCCCTGTCCCAGACACCTTAGCCTACTCAATTCCAGGAATGTGTTCTTACCTCCCACAAACTGTGCTGCTCCCATGCACCGCCCCATCATTCTGGAGATGAGTTCCTCCATGCAGCAGCCTAGGACAGCAGCCAGTGCTACCAGAAGCAGCAGTGCACAGCCAGCACCTGTCACCACTGTGCACATCTGCCAGGCCAGGCTTGGGATGGCACTGAAGCTGGAATAGCGCCCACATTCTTCCACCATCATCAGACTGTTCCCTTCTCCTCTCACTGGGTAGTTGCATCTCCGGAATGTGCTGAAAGACACTGGCTTACCCAGCTGTGATCCAAAGAGCCAATAAGGCAAGAAGTAACTGGTAGAACTGGCCACAGCAGTAACAAGGGACAAGAAGGCCCAGAGAGTCCCCACCATGGTCAGGCTGCTCCTCATGATCCCTAGTTTCTCTGCAAGGATGGGGAGATATGTCAGAGCACCAAATCAAAAAGTTACAATGTAGTCTCCATGGGCCTATTTTTCATCGAGTTGGCCAGTTTTGGGGCTCATTATTACACCAGTTGGCCTTTGCTCTGGATAAAATTATTCTCTTGAAGACCATTGGTGTCCTACAGGATTCTGCTTCTCAATTTCTTTTCCTTCTGCATGGATCATAGTTCCATAGTCATTGGGCTGCAGTGAAAAAACCACAGAGCTGAATTAGTGACTGATCTGCCAACTTACAGGCAGTCTGATCAACCAGCTTATACCACTTAACATAATATGGAGCCATGAGAAGAGAAATTAAGGCTGTGGCAAGAGTTCCTAAGGATTCCAGATGAATGACCTTGCAGATTCAGAGGGCTGAAAGGAGACAATATATCAAGAACATCAGGAACAAAGTTGTTTTCAGAGTGAAGGAAGAAGTAAAATGCACAGGCCAGTCTGTAAAGAAGAGATAAGATGGAAGGCAAGATTGTTACAGAGCTATGGGACAATCCCTTTTCACTTAGGGTATTCAGCCTAGGCAATTTAGTGGATTAGTGAGACCCTGTTTCAATGTAAAAATAAATGAATAAAAGGATTCAATGTGAAGAGTCTCTGTTCAGTCTTTAATTGCAGGGAAAAGGGAGAGGTAAGAAAGCAATAAAAAGTGCCTAATTTATACCATAAACCTACCACTGCAGGAGCACTGTTTAGTTATTGATAATGGTAATGGTAGACAACTTTCCAATTGTAGCAGTTAAAACTAGACTGACTACTAAGAAATTTGTCCCTGTGCTTTGATGACTATAGTTAAGAATGCTTCTCATCTCCATGAACTAGATCAGTATCAGGTACTCCCTATCTTGCTCCAGGAACATATAGCTGTTAGGTCTCTTCAAGGTCACTTTTGGAATAATATCAGATTCAACATTCTGAGAGAATTTCTAGATTTAGTCTCTTTGGCCCAGCTCACAAATGTTTTCCACAGAGTTGTCTGTCAAAAACCAACCAACCTCCTCCCCAAATCCACCAATCTGCCATTGCTTTCTGGCCCATTTCTCTATTAGGATGGCTAGAAACCCACTATAGCCGATGTCAGCACAATGAATGTCTCCAACTGGCAGATGGTAGAGCATGTTTCAGAAATTTCTTCATGACTCATCAGCACTACTTAACATTATATGTAATAATATGGAGAAGTAGGATAGGGGAGGACCAAAGCAGGAGAAGTACACAAACCAGCTAGATGGAGCCAACACATTCCCTATTTGGGAAACTATCAGGAGCAAGCAGCCATTGTGTTTAGGGTCAGAGCCATAAGCCATTTCTCAAGCACCACAAAAAGTGCCTGGCACAGAGTAGTCATTACAATTTATGTTTGCTTAATTAAACCTTTCCATAGACTCATCCGATTTTCAAACTGGCAGGAACCTTAATGAATCACCTAATCCAACCTTTTATTTTACATGTGGAGGAGTTTGGCCCAATAATAAAAGGCAGTGATTTTCCTCAGATCCAAAAAGCAGCAACACCTGAACTAGAAACCTGATCTGCAGATTCCTAGGCTGACTGTTTGCTACTACACAATCTGAACCCCACCTCTCCATCACTTTACAATGGGAACATGGAGAGGAAGTACGTTACCCAAGGGTAAATAGCTAGTAAGGTACACTGGCCAAAGGTCAGTTATTTGATTCTTAATATAATGCTCTTTTTTCAGTCTACCACAATTCCTCTCTTGATACATATATGTTTTGAGCTGTGTGCTTTGTTCAGGAAAGGAGCAGAGATCATAAATTTCAGGTGCTCACTCTGGACTCTTAGGGCTTGAGAAGAAAGTGCCCTTAGCTAGTCCCCTGGAAATGAGGCTTTTTATCTGTGAGTGGGGGAAATGAGACAGAGACAGAGACAGAGACAGAGACAGAGACAGAGACAGAGAGACTGTGTGTGTGTGTGTGAGAGAGAGAGAGAGAGAGAGAGAGAGAGAGAGAGAGAGAATGGTTGTGAGGTATTAAAGGCCAACAGGAGGAGAAGTAGAACTGGTTTTGATTTATCACTGTTAGAAGCAGGTATGCCCAGCCACAGCGAGGTAATTCTTCTCCTTGTCATGCTGGAGTTTGTAAGATTATGAAAGCCTATGCAGGCCCCTGTTATGGACTCATTTCCTGATGAAGAATCCCAGACTAGAGGAAAACAGAAAAAAGCTGATAAACAGCTATTGAATACCTCAACATAGCCCTCCTGAATCCATATTTTCAAGTGTTCTGTCCAAGGGTCTTCTTAAGCTGTTAAGAAATGCATTGCTCCTCAATTTACAAATAGGCTGACTGAAAGCCAGTAAACCAAACAACTTGCTCAAAAGTACACAGTGAGGGCCGGGGAGATGGCTCAGTAGAATAAGCACTTGCCTGGCAAATGCAAGGGCCTGAGTTCAATCCCCAGTTCTGAAAAAAAAAAGTAAGAAAGAAAAAAAAGAATCTTTCTTTTTTTTTTAAAAAAAAAAAAAGGACACAGTAATTCAGTGCAGAGCCATCCTTTCTTACTTCTCCTTGGCCTGCAGGCTTCTCCCATAGAATTACCCCAGTATAATTACATCACCACCTCCACAATATTACAATTAAATTCCCCACAGCTTTGCATCAAGAATTTTGAAATGTTTAAGGTTGGAAAGAGAATTAGAGGGCAAGATATGCTTGAAAGGAAGATGGTCAGTTTCTCTTGAAATACTGTGTAAACTAGCAGAGCAAGAGTATTAGCTGCCTAAATCACAACACTTTGTAGTCTGAACTAACTCCATATGTCCCACATGGTTGTCATCACCCAGAGATCAAAACTTCCAATATGACAACCAGTAAATGGGCACAAAATCTAAGAAAGAGGAAGTCACTGTATTTATTAGTGGTAACTAGAATATAATAGAAAGAGGGAGAAGCATTTAGACATGAATTTGACTTCATTTATGACTAATGAAGCTATCAAACTATAATACTACTGTTTACTCTCACCATAAGTTCATTTTAGAAGCAACATTGAAAGCCAGAAAGTAGGAAAGCAGAATCACAAAATTTAGTCTAACTGTGTTTAGCTATAGAATAACTCATTGTCTTTCTAAATTTAATTTATTGTCAACTTCAGAAGAAACTCATTAGCCATTTTTAATTTAGGTCTAGGGTGAAGAAACATATCAGTTTTCCTGGAACTAAAGAATATTGTGGAAAGTAGGACACTCAGTGATAAAACCAGAAAGTCCCAAATATCATGGGAAGGAAAGACCACCTTACGTAGAACTAGATGTTGGGTACAAGAAGTATCCTATAGCAGAGGTTTGAGAATTGCTGCTGTAAAAAAATTGTCTAATGTTTTCTCTATAGAACTCAGCTTATATAAAGTTAAATGTAACCATGGAACTCAACATTGGAGAGATACAGTCTATAAATATTGAATGTAAATCATCTGTGTAATGTAGACTTGACCTTATGAGATTAAGGCAAAGATTTCAGATTCAGTAATGCATTATTTCTCAAACACACACTGTAGTCCATTCTCACCTTGGAGAGTATACTTCTTTTCCTAAATACTTGGCCTGAAGTCACTCTGTACAGCATGTTTCTTTTCCTATTCTTAAGAAGTGAACTTCTTAAGAAATGAACTTCACTACATTTTACATATTTGTCCAATTATTTGTTTAGTATAAGAACCCAAAATAAGTCTCTAAAGCGAGATCTCAGAACCCCAGCACCGGGCAACAGATACATATGGAAACAGCAAGAAATGTATATTCTGTGCATGCACACTGTTATAATGTTCACATGTGCTGTACAAGGAAGAGCATTCTAACAAATGCTTTTAGTTCCATCACTTGTGAAGAAATAATTCCCCTTGTGACAATCCTACAATGCAATCCAGGTTCAGCCCCAGAAAACAGCTAAGTCACTTTGTACTCACATCAATAAAAAACACAAAAAATGCTGTACTTTATTCTATTTTTTTT